GTGATACGCTCTGACGTTGCTTTGTGGTTCCAGTTCCAGTTATTTTCTGTCTTTTTAAGATTGGCCGAGTATCTATTATTTCGTGACATCTTATCGTCTTCAAGATATTCCATCTGTTTGTTTTGTCAGCATAACATTCATTTACTCATTTACACTTATATCACACATGCATATTCACATTTGTCGTTGATTTTGGGTTGTATACTTTGTTTATTCAAACAGCGTACATGTTTCTTTCCAAGTAGAATGTTAACTTAGGCAGAAAATATGCTTCCTTTCTAAATTCCCCAACTGAGCTAATCCTCGTAGATGAATTTTTGATTTAGCCTTCCTTGTCCATTTCTAGATAGGATGAATCCCCAATTAAGTTATTTTCTCATTGGGTGGAGTCTTGTTTGACTGTCTTCTCTCTGGTTTATTCCTGGAGGGAGTTTTTTGTCTCTTGCATAGGCTATCTCGTGGTTTTCTCCAAGCTAAACAACCTAGATGAATGGTGCATTTATTTTGCGCATTTAAGTATTTGACCTCCTCAGGAAGGATCTATTTATGATTCCCTTTGAAAAAGAATTTTATTCTCTGGCAGTGTTATCGCAACTTTCTTCTGAAATATTTTTGGAAAACGGCAAGCGGCAGTCTCTTCATGAGCAACTTGTACGTTATAGACATCGTTAGAAAACGACAAGCGGCGGTCTCTTCATGAGCAACTTGTGCGTTATTATTATTTTTGGAAAACGACAAGCGGCGGTCTCTTCATGAGTAACTTGTACGTTATAGACATCGTTAGAAAATGACAAGCGGCGGTCTCTTCATGAGTAACTTGTGCGTTATTATTATTTTTGGAAAACGACAAGCGGCGGTCTCTTCATGAGCAACTTGTGCGTTATTATTTTTGGAAAAACGGCAAGCGGCGGTCTCTTCATGAGCAACTTGTACGTTATTATTTTTTGGAAAAACGGCAAGCGGTGGTCTCTTCATGAGCAACTTGCGCGTTATTGATATTTTTTCTAGAATACAGCAAGTGGCGGCTTATTTATTTGAGCAGCTTGTATGTTATTGGTATTTTTTTTGGAAAAACAGCAAGTGGCGGCTTCTTTATTTGAGCAGCTTGTATGTTATTGACATCCCTGGACGACAGCAAGTGGCGGCTTCTTTATTTGAGAAGCTTATATGTTATAGTATTTTTGGAAGACAGCAAGTGGCGGCTTCTTTATTTGAGCAGCTTGTATGTTATTGACATCTTTGAACGACAGCAAGTGGAAGCTTCTTTATTTGAGCAGCTTGTGTATCTACAACCATATTATTATTTCAGCATTAATTGGTATCCCTCTAGAAAAATCTCGTAGAGAGGCTCGTTATGAAATCTTTGCCTTCAGAAGTTGGTAGTCCATTATCAGCAAAATTGATACATCTTTTGTCTATCGTTGACCTTGAGATGTGAACTCACCGTTATTTTGGGTCGATAATCTGTTTTTGTGGCCTATGCAAGATGCCTTCTTTGTTAGGGTCAGAGGTCGTATTCTCTCAAATTTTATTCGATGTCAAGAGTATATCATTCGAAGTCGATGGCTCATTTCCCCAATAGTGTATAATCTATGTTCCTGTGGTTTGTTGGTGTTTGGTTTCTCCAGCATTGTTTCTGTCTCATACAGTATCATTCTCCATGAATTTAAATACTACATCCAAATCATAAACATAATGGCAGTATCTTAGGGTAAAAATTGCGCATTATGTATTTAAGTACCTTCAATCTCGTCGAGACGAAGATTTTAATCTTCATATCTCCGAATAGAAGAAACTTAAATAGGGGCAGCTGTCATACCCCAATTTTTGACCTAAGATCCCTGCTTCATTTGCGTTATTTTTCATACACATCAAGGTCATAGAATATGGTAGGTTTCAAACATTTCGCTTTCGAGCTTTGACTGTGTAGAGATTATCGAGTGTTGTGAGTATTTTATCTTGTGAATGACTAACCACTAATCAAGCACGAAGTGCATGTTTTGCTGTTTTATTTTCATGTGCAGAAAATAGGTCTGAAAGAATAGCATTAGACGTTGTACGTCGATCAGGATTTCGATTCTCAGAACAGAAATGTTGTCGTTCGTTAATTTCCAAAAGACTGGTTCATCAAAGAATTTCTGAAAATTGTGCGTTTATTTCCACATTCTGTCCAGCAAATGGTCTCCGTTTTCTCCGAATATTTTTCAGGAAGAACAGTCAAAATTCTACCGGCTTTGTTTCATGTGTGTTTCACATTGTTCTAAAATGCAAGGAAAAACAGGTTATACCGTCATTTTCGATTTCTTGGACTAAAAGTCATCTGCAAATTTTCTCACGACGCGGGTTGAATTTTGTCGAAATGGGATAATTAAATTCACAACTGTTCTAGAAGAATTTATTCGGAATATTCGAAATATTTGGAATTTTCTTTATTTTAATCCAAGAGATTTCATTCAAGGATATTCATTTATCACATGGAATATTCATTCAAGATTATTCTTGTGATTATTTTGGAGGATCTACATCATGATTATTTAAATACATTGAAGTATTATTTCAAGAAGTTAGTGGGGAATTCTATTTAATTACATGAGGAATTTTATTTGGTTACAAAATTAATCCATGTGATTTATTTGGATTTCTATTACAAGTGCAAGATTAAAGTCCAAGACTTGCTTTATTATTTATTCAACATTCAACAATTCATCCAAGTATTATTCAATTATTTCCCAAATTTAAATGGAAGATCTTGAATTTTTATTAAGATATATCAAGATTTATGTTTATGTGAAGATTCAAGATCATCCATAACTACCCAAAGAATGGAAAATATATTGAAGAATGCATATTTATTCAATGTTACAATTTATTGGAGTTTATCATAAGGTTACAAGAAGTTACAAGGGTGTACAAGATTTATTTTCAACATGGAAAAAATTCAGCAAAGTGCTAGTGCAGCCCATGCTTGCAACCTTTCTTCAAGCCCATTTTGCTACATCTTTGTTGGTCAATAATGCTCCAAATAACCAGAAAAAACAGCAAAGAGAAATGTTGTAAAAATGCTACAAAACAGTAATAAACAGCAACATACATCAGCTTCAAGTGCTGCCAAAAACCTGCTCCAACCTGCATCAATGTAGCAACAATTTATATCAAAATGGCTAAAGCAATTTGTGAGAACAAAGTATAGAAACAGCTTGCCAAAACAGTTTGAATTTCTACTATTCCCCCCCCCCCCCCCCCCCCAATGCTCCAAATAACCAGAAAAAACAGCAAAGAGAAATGTTGTAAAAATGCTACAAAACAGTAAAAAACAGCAACATACATCAGCTTCAAGTGCTGCCAAAAACCTGCTCCAACCTGCATCAATGTAGCAACAATTTATATCAAAATGGCTAAAGCAATTTGTGAGAACAAAGTATAGAAACAGCTTGCCAAAACAGTTTGAATTTCTACTATTCCCCCCCCCCCCTCAAATCCCACATACTCCACTATAAATAAGAGTCTTTGTCAACACAAGAAGGGGAAGAAAAAAATTCAGCAAGTAAGAAAAACCAGAAAATAGAGTGTTTGTTCTAAAATTTTCAGCAAGAGTGAAAACAGAGAATTAGTGTTGTGCTAAGAAAAATTCAGCAAGGAGAAAAGATAGTAAACTCAAGGAAGCTTACCATTTTTGTTAGAAGCCCCACCGGAGAGGCTCCGATAGGTATATTGTTTTTCTACTCTCTATCTATTGTTGCTCTACTGTTTCATATATTCATGCTTGAATCCCTTACTGTACCAATGTTCTTTGCCATGTGATATTTGCTTTATCATTTTTTGTTTTTGTTGTACTGTATTGGAGTTGATTTGCTGCATAAATGTTGATATTTAAACATGTTAATATTCATAATATCAGTAATAATAATAAGTGTAATAAAAGCTTACTTCTTTGCTGTCCCAAAAAACTTGTTTAAAGTTTGTTGTCCAAATGTTTGTGCTGTCTAAAAAAAACATGCTTGCTGTCCAAAAATGCCTTTGCTGTCCAAATATTTGTGCTGTCTAAAAAACATCTTTGCTGTCCAAAAATGCCTTTGCTATCCAAATATAGTTGTTGTTCCAAATAGACAAAAACTCATTTTTGTTATTACAATATAAAAAACATTTTGTTACAATAGTATATAAATATATTTTGTTACAATAGTATATAAAAATATTTTGTTACAATAATATATAAAAATATTTTGTTACAATAGTATATAAAAAATATTTTGTTCTTAGTCCATAAAAAATATTTATTCCAATATTTTAAAAAAACTATTTTTGTTCTTAATATTTAAAAAAAAAGTATTTTCGTTCTTAATATTTAAAAAAAAAATGTTTTTGTTACAAATATTTTAGAATATATGTTACTGTTATATTTATAAAAAAAAAAATATTTTGCTATCCAAAACCATAAAAGTATTTTGCTTGTTTTTCTTTCTAATATCATATATCTAAAAAAATATGTTGTTGTTACATTATTTTTAAATATATTGTTGTTCCAATATTTAAAAAAAATGTTTTTTTGTTAGAATATTTAAGATATTTTGCTATTCCATATCAAGATCTAAAAATATTTTTTGTTGTTTTAATCTAAATAATAAAAAAAAAAACATTTATTCTAATATTTAAAAAAAAACCATTTGTTATAATATTAAAAACCATAAAAATATTTTGCCTTTGTTTTCTAATATCCAATAAAATATCTCATTTTTTTTTATCCAAAACCAAAAAGAAATTGTTCTGCTGTTACAACAAAACACAGCGGAAGGAAGAAAAAAACATGGAACCTGCAAAAAAAAACATTAACAAACAGTACTTAAAACCAAAACGCAGGGGAAGGAAGAAAAATTCAGAGATCTACAAACAAAAACTCTCCTCTAACCGAAGAGATTTTTTACCGATCTATCGCGCCAGAAACGGAAATAAATGTTTTTTTTCTTTCTTTTTCTCTTCTTCGACTATGTTTGTTAGTTTTGTTAATCAACATCTTGATTAAGAGAAGGTTCGGATCTGTAACAATAGGAGGAGTTCGGATCTGAGAGAGAGAGGAAGAAAGAAGTTGTGCCATGGAAGAGGGGGTTCGGATCTTTGCGAGGGAGGAAGAAAAGAATTTGGATCGGTGATGGGGAGGAAGAAGGAGGAATTCGGATGTGAGAGAGAGAAAAGGAGGAAAGTGTTTTTTTCATGAAGAGAGGAAGTGTTGTTTTTGTCTTACAAGTTCTTGTTACTGTTTTGTTTTCCTTTGAAAAAAATAATAATAATAATAGTCTACTTTTTTCCTTTCCCAAGTAATAATACAATATAATTATTATGTTGTCTTTCCTCATACGGTCAGCATGCGCGGCGCCCTCCCTCTCCTAGGGTTTACTATTTTTTTTTCCTTTTCCTTTCATCCAACCCGGTGGCCCATTGGGCCCAATTTAATCAATTCCAATTCCCACTTTTTCCTTTATGTTCTTATTAACTCATGCTATTAATGAATAAACAGTATTAGCTCAATTGGTAAAAGGTGTTAGCAGCATTCTAAGTGTCCTGGGTTCAAGTCTTGGTTCGGTCACTTTTCTATCTTTTATTTATTTTGACCATATTATTTAACATACTTATTAATTATTAATTTAGTTTGTTGTATAATTAGTAATTATTATAAAAAAACACATAAAAATGTTCAATTAAAATTCATCTTTATTTATTTTGTCAACATACTATTTAATTCTTATTTTTATTTTGTGTTGTTGTCTATTTAATTATTCAAAAATACATGTTTCATGATTTAATTTTTGTCATGTGTTTAATTATCAAAAAAATCTATGTTTTCTTAATTTAATCTTCATGTACTTTTTGATTATTTATTTAATTGTTAAGATGCATGCTAGTATAATTTAAATTTCATTAGTAATTGTTTAATTATAATTTTAATTAATTGATCGTTAATCCGCATATCTCTCGTCCATTTCAATCCAAGGGAATCGTTTAAATTTTTGTCGACTTCATGTCATTAAATACATAGCGCGAATACCTTCATTCATCCTTCGTTTATTATTTCGTTAAAAACTTAAAATAATTTCCCCAAAATATTCAACCTTTCAAAACTCCTACCTTTTAAGTCAAAACTTCGACGTTAGGTCGTCGTATTTTCGAAAACTCGTCCAATACCCATCTTTGGCCAAACAATTTATTTTTAATCAAACAAACATTTTTTAATAAACAGATATTTCAAAAGGTTCCTATAGAATACTATAGATACGTTGGGTGCTAATACCTTCCCATTGTATAACCAACCCCCGAACTCTAGACCTCTTTTCAAAAACGCCTTGTATTTTCATTACTTTTAAAAGTAATTTTACATTGCATACTTTAGGGTTTTATTTCGCTCTTTCCCCTTTTCCCTTGGAAATAATAAAGCGCGGTGGCGACTCTTGATTTTGTGAGACGAATTAATTAGTAATTTGATCTCTGATTTACCCCGCTACATTTTTTATCGCTACAAGGTGGGATAACGAAGCCCCTCAGATCACTATTGAAAGATTGGACAAACCGACATACTGTTATGAGATTGATACTGAAGAAGCAGTGGATAAACCTTGGTTCCACGAAGTGAAAAGGTACCTCGAAGCCCAAGAGTATCCTGAGGGAGCTTCCTTCAATGATAAGAAGTTCCTAAGAAGGTTCTCTACCAAGTTCTTCCTCAGTAATGGGATCCTATACAAGCGCAACCATAATTCTACTTTGCTTTGGTGTGTAGACAAGAGTGAAGCATAGAAAATTATGGAAGATTTTCATGAAGGCACCTTTGGCACCCACTCTAGTGGGCACACAATCTCTAAAGTGATCTTGTGGGCAGGATACTACTGGTCCACTATGAAAGCCGACTGTTATCAGCAATCCCGAACTTGTCACAAATGCCAGATCTATGCTGATAAAGTACATGTTCCTTCGGATCCTCTAAACGTTTTGACTGCTCCTTGGACATTCGCAATTTGGGGCATCGACATGATTGGGGATATTAGACCTACATCTTCTAATGGGCACTGCTTCATTCTCGTCGCCATTGATTACTTCACAAAGTGGGTCGAGGCCTCCTCTTTTGCTTCTGTTACCAAGAACGTTGTGGCCTGATTCATCATATATAACCTTATATGTCGGTACGGTATTTCGGAAGAATCATTACGGATAATGGTACCAATCTCAATAATACTATGATCACCAAAATTTGTACATAATTCAAGATTCAGCATCATAACTTTTCTCCTTACCGGTTGAAGATTAATGGTGCTGTAGAGGCTGCTAACAAAAACATCAAGAAAATCATACAGAAGATGACGGTGACATACAAACACTGGCATGAGATGTTACCATTTGCTCTTCATGGTTACCGTACCTCAGTACGCACGTCAATAGGGGCAACTCCTTTCTCTCTGGTATATGATATGGAAGATGTCCTACCCATCGAGGTCCAGACCCCTTCTTTGAGAATCATGAAGGATACATGTTTGAATAAAGACGAATGGGTTCAGACTCGAGTTGACTAATTAAACCTGATTGATGAAAAGAGGCTCACGGTTGTCTGTCATGGTCAGATGTACCAAAAACATATGATTAGTTCTTTTAACAAAAAGTTCAGACGTAAGGTATATCAGGCTAGTGACCTAGTAATCGAGCGCATTATCCTAACGCAAGGTGATCCCAGGGGCAAATGAACCCCGACATATGAAGGGCCATTTGTGATCAAGAACATATTTTCTGGTGGAGCCATGATTTTAACAACTATGGACGGTGACGACCTTCCGCACCTTATAAACGCGGACATAGTTAAAAAATACTACGCATGAACAAAGACCCGCTAGGTCGACTGGCCTAGGAAAAAATAAGGGCATCCCGACGAACCAAAAGGGTTCGGGCAAAAATTAGGGATATACATATGGAAAAATCTGTACACCCGACAAGTCGAAAACCTGAAAAGGCGGCTTTGGCAAAAAAGGGTATCCCGGTGGACTGAAAACCCGAAAGGGCGGTCCAGGAAAAGTTAGGGATGTAAAAGCGTTCAACTATGTTCTGTTGGATCACCTTACAGCCAATTTTCAGTATCAACTATCTAGCTCAAATGGTACTAATCAATCCAGTCAGCTTCGGACAAGCAGCAAAGAGATGAGATGCTTAAAGACATAAAGGCAATAGCGGAATGGGAATCCAATGGGATTATTTCACATAGATGTTTTTCTTTGTATACTATTTTTGTATGGTTTTCATTCTTAAGACAACATTCTCTTACTAGGATGTTTGTTTCCTTGTACAAAAACGACTATTATAGGCAAAACATCCTCAAAGTAATACAAAAACTATTTCTTTGAAAGTGCAAAACTATTTGTTTTTTATTTTTCTGTTTTGTTTGCAAAAATGTCCAGTAATTATTTTTGAACTTATGCATTTGAATGTGATTACCATTTACAAATATGCACACATAAAAACAGAAAGAATTTTACTATGGGCTTTAAGAAACAGGACAATGTCTAAAGGCCATCTGCTAATCCCCACAAATACTTTCTCCAACAGGTACAGAGGAAGAGACACCCTATTATAAAGTCACTACCATATCCTCAGTTTACAGCCTAATGATGTCAAAGTTTCTGTTATCCCCGACAGAGCAGGAATCTCTAATTATTTCCCCAGAGAATTCCCTAGCCTGGTTCACAAGTTTCTTAGGTTCCCTAACAGGGTTTCATAAAATCCCCAAGAGGATTATGGAGTTTCCCTCCCCTAACAGATTTTATTTCTCTAGCAATGGAAATCTCTCTCCCAGCCTTTCAACTTCAACAAAATTTGAAGACTTACATTCTTCATCCCCGGCAGCAATCAGGGATTTATTATCCCTAGATCAACAACACTGAAACAGAACAACTGATACGTTCATACATTGCATTCAAAAATAATTTTACAAGTGTTATAGCATATGCAGCACGAATGCATATATCACAATCTCATTTATTTTGAGAGCATCATTAGTCGATGCATTTCATGCATCGTGACACTGCATACAACTGACTCTTTACCTTTTTCAGGAAAGTTCACAAGCAGACAAATATCATTATCAATTTTCAACAGTTTCAGATTAATTCATGAAACCAGACAGGATAACTATCTGTGAAAGATTGATTGTAGATCAATTCCCTAAATAAGACAGGGCGACTCTCTACAAGACCAGGTCAAAGATTAATTCGTGAAACAAGCCAGGGCAACTATCTCAACGACAAAAAAAAACATGTTCCAGATTAATACCTGAAACAAGACAAGACAACTATCTGTGAACAACTAATTGTAGATTAATACCTGAAACAAGACAGGACAACTATCTATGTGAGCAGATTGAAGATTAAATCCCGAAACAAGAAGGGGAAACTTTCTTTATTTCTCTTAGGTCAAAGATTAATTCCTGAAATAAGCCAGGGAAACTATCTCAATGACCAACAAAAGCAAGTTCTAGATTAATTCCTGAAACTAGACAAGGCAACTATCTATGAACAGATGATTATGGATCAATTCTCGAAACAAGATGGGGTGACTATCTACACGACCAAATGAAGCAATCTTACATGGATTCCTTCTCAAAATTTCCAAATGCAGCTTTACACGGGCTCATCCTGAAGCAATCTTACACGGATTCCTTCTCGCAATTTTCATATGAAGCTTCACACGGGCTCATCTTGAAGCAATCTTACATGGGTTCCTTCTCATGATCTACAGATGAAACTTTGCACGGGCTCATCCTGAAGAAATCTTACAAGAATTCCTTCTCACAATTTCCAGATGTAGCTTTACACGGGATCATCCTGAAGCGATCTTACATGGATTCCTTCTCGCAACTTTCAGATGCAGTTTCACATGGACTTATCCTGAAGCAGCCAAACACAGGCTCCTTTTCATATATCTCCAGATGAAGTTTAACACGGACTCATCCTGAAGCAGCCTTACACAGGCTCCTTCTCATATATCTCCAGATGAAGTTTAACATGAACTCATCCTGAAGCGGCCCTGCACAGGCTCCTTCTCATATATCTCCAGATGAAGTTTAACACAGACTCATCCTGAAGCAGCCCTACACAGGCTCCTTATGATATATTTACATATAACGGTATATTTCATTTTCCCCAGTAAGTTACTGCAAAGCCTATATTTCGACCAGAAAACAACTAACTTTCATCTCTCCAGTCCAGAGATAACTCCTCAGTAGAGCCATGGACAACTAAAGCTCCTAGACTCTATTCCCCACAAAGTTTTCCTCAATCAAGGGAACAACAAAAATCAACATTCCCCAGTAGAGTCCTCCTCAGAC